AAGCAGAGATTGCTATAAGCATTCCAGATATTTTCAGGAATATGTCTCTCTCCAAGGTACTGGACTGATGACATTCTCATCCTTTAATACACATGAAGGTATCCTCTAATTTCCTTGATATTCCAGTGTTGGAATTACGCCCCAGAAATCTACTTAGCATTGGCACAAGCCAACTGATCCAGAAAAGCTTGAGCATCCAAGTAGTAGTTACCACCAAACTGATATGAGTCCAGGTGTTATGAAGGCAAGGTCTTATCAACCCCTCACACCACCCACCCACCCCCAAAAAAAAAAAAANCCACCCCCCCCCCCCCCCCCCCCCCCCCAAAAAAAAAAAAAAAAAAAAACATACTATTCTTGTAGCATCCAGTCTATTGACAATCCACACCCAGAGTTCAGATGAGGGATAGCACCACATAGGTGACTTCGATTCCAAATGAAATGAGTTCGGTCAACCATACAAGGCTTCAGGAACAATTTTGGTCTACAATGCAGTAAAAAATGCTGAAAGAGTGTAATCATGTGTATTTGTGGTCACCAATATAAGAAACGTTCCCATTTTTTGGGGCCAGTAAAACTTAACTTGAATCCATAACACTTTCACTATTTACAAACCCAGGTGGTGAATTGAATTGACAAAAGAAATATATTCAGTAAGTTCGAAATATCCACTATTTCTACACTTACAGTAAGTCGTTCTCTAATGCCAGTTGCCACGGACCCAAAACCTTCCACCACAGACTATCTTTTCCTTCATAAAAATTCTTGATACCAAGTAATTAATCCACCACAAACATACTAACTTAAGGTGCCCAGGTCATTACAAATGTGAAAAGTACAACTTGCAAATACCATCACCCAATCGTAATTCAAAGAAATTTCATATCTTAAGCAAATTATCAAGATCAAAATATCCCTACACACTTCCACTTTTCTTAATAGACTTTCCAAGAATTCAGTAAAGTCGGAATCCCCATTTTCAATACCAATTGCGTATAAAATAGACGCTTTAACAGAATCTATTATATCTTCATCAACTTTAACATCATATTCTTCAATGTACAGACATACCCACATTGAATTACCAGCTAAACTATACTGCTACAACATTTTTATTCAATATTATGAAACTTAACATAAAAAAACAAGAAACATACGAGATCAACCAAAGCAGCGGCCTTCTGGTATGTTGATCCATAAGTAATGGCATCTGTTCTGTTAAACAAGTTCCTACGATCCCTTCTTTGGTCGCCACTGCTGCCTTCTCCTCCACCCAACAAAGCCGTCTCCATTTTTGCTCTGACCACTACAGGATCAAAGATGGGATTGATTATAATGTGGTCATTAATGAGAGAAGGAAATGGTTGTTCGTTATGGATGAATTTGAACTCAAGTATTTTCAAATTGTCAGTATCAGATATTCAGTAAGACGTGTGGCAGTTTTTGCATGATTGACGGGCCCTCGTGCAGGGACTGGATTTATTTCTGTGGAGCCCTTGAATTACGATTCATTTAACTGTAGTGTTTCTTTGCTTTTTTTTATTTTTTCCTTTAAATTTTAATTCTCCACTCGAAAATTGTCTATTTCAAAATTAAGTGGAGAAAATTGATTATAATTGGTCAAATTAAATAAAAATATATTAGTAAATGAACAAAACAAAACATTCTCTATAAAGAAACAATATTATATAATTATGACGAGAAAATAAGAAAAGTCAACTTATATAAACGGAATGGATGGAATATTTCTTGCAAGATATTTGAGGATGTCAAATGAAATGAATTAAGCTGGCACTTTCTCATGCAGCCCGCTTACCATCTCGCTTGTGAAGTGGAAAAAAAAATTAAGTTTTCGAAAAAACTTTAAGAATAAAAATAATGTGATGGAGCGATCGCCCACTTGATTCTCGAATTTTTTAAAAGGTCATTCAACTTTATTATGGATGAAATTATGTTTTTCTTTTTCTTTTTTCTTTTTTTTTTTAATATTTGCGATGCCCTCCCATACCTTTGTTCACGTTGACAAAATCCAACTCCATTTTGATTTTGATTCAAATAAAAATATTTTTTTGGTATGATAATGAAGAATTTGTGAGTAATGGACACTAAACAAGATAATGAGGGATGTCGGCATTTTAATGATTTATTTACACCTGTCGACTTGATCCATTGCCGTCTAGTTGGTACTACAATGGTCCCATTTTCCATGCTGATAGATACACTATTTGACTTGATCAACTTCAATAATGATTTCATAAGAAAATAAATTTTTTTTTTTTTGTAAAATTATTATTGACGTCGAAACCCTTGAGGATTAGATATTAATGTCGATTTGTGAAGGTGTAGTTCATGCTCGACTTCAAAGGTATGAGATTGTTTCCAAACAAGATGTGTCTTGTTCTCATTACTATGTAAAAAGGACAATGTTTCACTACTGTAGAAAGAACAGTAGATTCTTCCATTTTGTCGCACTGTAGCTTTTTTTTTTTTTTTAGAGAAAGCAACGACGTCGTTTATCTTACGTGTTTGATATAGTGATTTTGTTGTTTTTCCTCAATTATGCGGCATGGAGGATAATGTCATAGAGTTCTATTTACTATTTCTCAATTTTTACACGCTACAGTCATATCTCTCTATTTCTCCACACTAATTCAAGAGCAAAAGTGTGAATTCCATAAATATATTATTGAAAATATATTTAAAGAAAAATAAATTTTAAAAAATAAAAACCAAACATGTTAACAAATGAATATATATATTTTTCGAAAAATAAGTTTTTATTACCATTTCATTTTTATCGTGAAATGATTCTAATTTTAATATGTTAGATTGTGCTTCAAAATTACATAATCTATTAATTATAATTTTTATAAAGTAATATGTTTTTATGAATTTTTTTTTTTTTAGTAAAGTAATTTTTTAGTAAAGTAAACGGAGGCTACTTGAGCCTCCGCAATAACGGAGGCCTCCATAATTATGAAGGCTCAAGCATGAGCCTCCATAATTATGGAGGCCCATAATTAACATTAAAAATTATATTTGATAGATTATGTAATTTCGAAGCACAATCTAACATATTATGATTAGAATCATTTCATAATAAAAACGAAATGGTAATAAAAACTCATTTCTCGAAAAATAATTTATTCATTTGTTAACATATTTGGTCTTCATTTTTTAAAATTTATTTTTTACAAACATATTTTTAATCATATATTTATGAAATTCACACTTTTGCTCTTGAATTAACTCTCTCAATAAATTATTATTTAAACGGTTCGTAAACATTTTGATTGATATTATTTTTTGGTCATCCAAATGGTTATTATATACCTTTTACGTACATATATAAAAATAATATTTTTATTTAAACTTATTTATGTGTTCAAAAATAAATTTTCTAAAGATACATGGTTGATAGCGTGAGAAAATGGTGAAAGAGATAGTGTGGAGAAATAGGGAAGCATGGTTGTAGCGTGTAAAAATGAAGAAAGAGTAAGCCTCCATTATTTTATGTATTTTTATTTTAAGAATATTAAAAAAATTAAGTTAATTAAATGAAATTAAATTATTGTACTGAGAGCCAATAAAAAAAATAGAAAGTAAAAAAAATGAACGTTGAGGCCTCCGTAATTACCTTCATGAAGCCCCCATAATACGGAGGCTTTATGGAGGCCTTCATAAAGCCTCCGTATTATGGAGGCTTTGCTCCATAATATGGAGGTCTTGCCTCCGTAATATTTTTTTTATTTTTTTAAATATATACTAAAATTATTATTTTTAAATTTTGTTGACATGATGCATGTGTGGAAGAATATTTGTCAATCACCATAAATAAATTTTTTCACAAAATGTAAAAAATAAAAATGCATAATAAATCTTCTTATTACGCTAATAATATTACAATAAATTTTTTTTTACAAATAACATAAAAAATTATTTTTATTTTCAACAAAAAACACATTTAAAAATTAGCAATTTTATAACCACTTTTTTTTTTTAAATTTTCGAAAATACAATTATAAAATAAAAAATAATTAAATTTTTATTAATTTTATAATATAATATATTATGGAGGCTCATACTTGAGCCTTCATAATTATGGAGGCATCATGCTCATGCCTCCATTATGGAGGCTCAAGGCATGAGCCTCCATTATTACTTTACTAAAAAAAATAAAATAATCATAAAAACATATTACTCTATAAAAATTAATTTTAAAAATTATATTTGATAGATGATGTAATTTTGAAGCACAATCTAACATATTAAGATTAGAATCATTTCATGATAAAAATGAAATGATAATAAAAACTCATTTCTCGAAAAATAAATATATTCATTTGTTAATAAATAAAAACATTATTTTTATATATGTACGTAAAAGGTATATAGTAACCATTTGGATGACCAAAAAATAATATCAATCAAAATGTTTACGAACCATTTAAATAATAATTAATTGAGTGGGTTAATTCAAGAGCAAAAATGTGAATTTCATAAATATATGTAAAAAAAATTCTCTTAAAGTTATTTAAAAGTAAAATAAAATAAAATAAAACTTATAATTGTAAAAATTACTTGTAACTTAACAATATATTAACTTAAAAATTTGGAGTAAATATTTAAATATATTTAATTTTTAAAATTAAATATTAACTTATATGTTAAATAGATGATCTATAAATAAAATATCATTTAAATAAAAAAAATATCAAAAGAATCTCTCCATATTTATTATGAAGACTTGATCTCTCCATGAGATCAAGCCTCCGTATCACGGAGGATTTTCCTTCGTAATATGGAGGTTTGTTATAAGAGATCAAGTCTCTTATTATGGAGAAATCAAGTTTCCGTATTACAGAGGATTAAGACTTTCAAATATGGAGACTAATTTTTTTTTTTGAATTTGTTTATTAGTAATATTTTTATTTGTTGATATTTTTTGCTATCCCTATTTTATTTCAACAATCACTTTTATGTAAGAAATTATTAACAAATAAAAATTTAGACAAAAAATATTTGTAAAATGTAAGAAATTACTTAGAAGTAAAAAATCTACAATTTTGACGCTAATAAAAATACAATAAATACAAAACTCGTGCAACGCACGTGTCAAAGAATAGTAGTGTAATATGATTTATATCTTTTTGTTATTAAATATATTTATCAATTAAATTTAAGCATTCAAACTTTTCACAATTACTAGTCTTTGCCCGTGCGAGGCACGGACTAGGCTATTTTAAAGGTAACGTTAGAGTATTAGATGTGTTGAATTCTTGTAAAATTTTCAACTGAATTTTGCTATATCTACATTGGAATGGACTTTTCGTTATTGTGCATGCAGAGAGATTTATTAAATTATATGATTGAAAAACACAGAAAATCTTTTTCCATGTGGATTAAAGACAATCGAGTTACTTAAATAATCCAAGTTGAATTATTAGCATTATATTTAAAGTTAATTAGTTTGATCATAATCCTTTTAACTCACGTTAGATCAAAAGCACTGTTAGTTAAGCTAATATATGAAGATTAATCCTAAATCAATTGAGAAACGTTAAAAGCTAAATTACTCATCAAAGTTATATAATAAGTTGATGAGATATTTCTTCAATTGGTATAAAATTGAAAGGATAATCTTAATATAAAAAAAAAAGGATTACACTCTTCATCTTTCATTTCATGATAATATTCCTGCTGGAACTCCACATATACTCGTGAGGGAGAAAATTCATTCATTTCCATGCACACATATAAATATGAAAGTATATACTCATACAAAAAATAAGAAACGAACTAAAATAAAATAGAAGAAAAGAAAACAATGTGAAAACCTCTCATTCAAAAATATAATTTACTGAGACTTAATTTATAACAATCCAATAGCAAAAACTGATGGTGGTTGGTGAAATTAATTTTATCAAAATAAGGGGAGTTCTCATACTGATCTTGAAAATTACACTACATAATAAATAGCATTAAATCAACCAATAAGCAATTTACTTCCCCATTTTACAAGGTCCAATTGGAAAGTTTTTGTAGCGCACTTCTGACAAAATGTTCTTAACACATATATATCAACTTCAACAATCTGTAAGCAATACCAATAAAACATATGTACACATCTATGCAGGAAAGACATATTGATTCAACATTCTATATTTTCTAACCCCAAAAAATTCAACATATGAGCTGGTGAATTATATCGGTAAATGGTAAGAAAAAAAGACCAATACACTGGTCAAGATCATTCATATATATATATATATATATATATATTTGTGTAGAAAATAACCATCTTACACACAATCAGCTAAATTTCAAATGACACAATGTAATAAAAGGGAATACTCGTTTCTTGAGTAATATTTGGTGCCAGGTACTCTTTAGCATTGTCATCTAACTTCAAAGGCTTGGCACCATCTGGATTC